TGGGGGTTGAGAGAGTACTAACGACTATGAAAGAGTGTGTAAATTAAGAGAAGAGGTTGTGTAAATTAACGATTGAACGAAGCTGTGCCTGTTAAGCAATCCGGGGCCGAATTAGAAAATGGAAGACCATCACAAGACACGATAATCTCCCTCGATCTGGGGCGTCCACGCGAAGATCTCACCCGGTCGGGGCACAAAGTGAGAAACAAGAACGGGTGCAGCAAAAATCCCAGAACCACACGGGTCGGGGGACTAGTCAGAGGACCCGTCAGAGAGCGTGGGACCAAAGGAACAAAGGCGTACCAGCTGAGTAACACTACTACCCGCTTGCCGCAGGCCAGACGTGCCCCCTGCTTAAGCCAGTACACATGTCCAGCCCGCTGCAAGTTTGCTAGCGAGAGCATTTGGATGATCCAGAAGAGGATTGGGGGAGAGATGCTATGGTCAGTGATGAAAGCCACAAATGTTAGAACTTTTTGTAAGAACGCAACTAGGACGTGTTTGGAGGAGGAAAGAATGCTGAAGTTGCATCCAAAGAACAACCTAACTGTGAAACATGGGGTCCGGAGACATCGATGCTTTGGGCTGTTGTTCGGCAAAGGGACCAGGCATCACTGATCCGGTAATATGAAAGGAATATGGGCCATATATCGTGAGATTTGTAGTGAGCAACCCTCCTTCCCATCAGCAAGGCATTGAAAGCAGAAACGTTGCTGGCTTTCAGCATGACAAGATGCCAAACCACACGCGGCGGGCAACGAAGGAGTGGCGTCGTAAGAAGCATTTCAAGGGTCCGGAAGGGCGCGAGCCAGTCGCCAGATCTCAAACCCCATATAAAATCTTTGGGAGGAGTTGAAAGGCCGTGTGCCGAGCGACCAGCCCCAAAACATCACGCCTCTATATGAGCGAGATCTGCTTGATGGAGGAATGGGCCAGAAATACCAGCAACAGTGTGAAAACCTGTGAAGAGCTTACAGAACAAGCGTTTGACCTCTGTCATGCCAACAAAGGTTATAAACAAGTATTGAGATGAACCTTTGTTATGACCAAATAATATTTTCCACCATCATTGCAAATAAATTCTTTAAAAATCAGACAATGGATTTTCTGGATTTTTTGTTCTCATTCTGTCTCTCATAGTTGGAGGTAATACTGTTTAGGATAAGAGGAAATTACAGGCGTTCCATCTGTTCTTTAAGGTCGACTGAAGCTTGCCAATCTGGCGTGCGACTAATAGACTTTTTTTACCCCACTGGGTACCTCTTCTTGCGAGATAATGGACAAAAGAAACTCGGGCTAGTATGTCAACTAAACGTCCAGTTCTAGTATTACAACAAAATGTCGGTAAACGAGGTAAATTACGAATTTATTCTCATCGTCAGTGGGATTTGAATATTTAAATTAGTTTAGATGTATGGTCCACAGGGGGACATTCAGGTTCACAGCTTCTGTGAAAGAAACAAGATGAAATCAACAAAAAAAATAAGTCAGGACAACTACAGATAGCTCCACACATGATGTTACTTGTTATTAGTTAGGGCTGCCGTATGAGCAGGTTTTTGCCAAGCGACCCTGTGAGCTAGGAATAATAATATGTAGATAATATAAACCGTATGGGACAATGAACGACATCTAGTGACGGATTGTGGAACGATGATCTAGATTTTCTCATGGCATTTAGACCTCTAGGAGACAAACCAGGGGTCTTTGTAACTGTGTCTGTGTCCATTTGGAAGTGGTTTGAATCCAATATTGACATTTGGTTTATATGTTAGTCACCTTTCTTTATGAGAATGCCAGGTTTTAGCGCCTTGGTTTGAACCTTCAATCCTGAACCAAAAGTGTTATTAATCCTGACATGATAGAGATAGATAGTAAAGTCTATGTACCATCTGATAGGAAGAGGTTAAGGGATAGTAGGGAGAAAAGTTATGGTATAATTACAGAGCCGTGTGCCAATTTATAATTGAGGAACATCAATGTTAGTCTGTTAACCAAAGTGCAGCCACTGATCAATCACCTAGTGCTTATGTATCTCATTTTATTAAAGATCAGAGAAGAAGAACAGAACGAGAGGGCGTAAAGTCCGGAATAAAGCAAAGATATTGTAGAGCAGGAGAAGGAAAAAGCGTTGGATTGTCAATTCATTAAATGCCAAGATATTTTTCGTTTTTGTGAGAAAAAAAGATTGCGCCCTCGGATTTTTAACAGCCCCCTCAGTCCACTTTCATCCTGGAGCCGGCGCGACGCAATCGCACAACCGTCAGATGTCCGTAATTCCAATCCACACGCAGACTTACATCGAGTTTAATACATTAACGTAGCCTTGTTCTGCTAAAAGAGGAGTCGAAACACTGGGGCAACAAAAAATCGGTCAGCGTTTGTTTGCGTTTGTTTTGTGTGTTTGTGTTTGTGAATGAGTGACTATATTGAAAAAATATAATCATTATTATACTAAGTATTGACAATAACAAGCGCCCGTCGGGGCAGCATTTGCTTGCATTCCGCGTGATTTCCTCCTACTGTTGTGTATATTTATCTTTATTTTATACTCTGTTAAGCGTTCTATTTCGTCTTTGATTGTATGGGTTATCTGTGCTTTTTTAATCTTTTGTGTACATTTCACCTTCTCCATTGTCGTGTTTTTTGTTTTGAATCGTCACATGTTCAGCGTCTTGCCGTGATAGCCGTTGATGCTTTATATAATGAAAATTTGCCGTGAGTTGTGTCTTGTAGTCGATACGAGTGTTTCAGATTATAAAAGGCATCGCGGGCGCCGGCTCTCTCGAGGCATCTCCAGGGAGCACACGGTGAGACAGTGAGACCAGGCTGAGACCACACACCTAACTCACCATGCCGTTGTTAGACCTAAAGACTCGGCGATTACTAGACGCAGAGCAGAGCTCAAGCACCCTTGTTAATTGTGAGCTAATTGACGCTGAATTTTACTTTATTTATTCGTTATTTATGGGTATTAAAGTGTCGATGGGAGATAGTATTGTTGCTGAAGCACTTTGAGTTCCCATTGTGTATGAGAAGTTGCCTATAAAGATAAAAGTTTCCCATCTGAGTTGATTATATAACTGTGCATATATTCACTACTGTTTCACTGCGGATCATGTGAGTTTCAGCGTGGACGAGCGTGCGAAGAAACAAAGAGCGCGGATTATAGGCTGGCGTATTACATTTGAATAGGCTAATATGGAGCGGCGTGTGCACTAGGTTAACAAAGATATAACATCTATATAACAATAAGAATCTCTCCGCAGTTTGGTATGTGACCACCGTATTTCTTGAGGTCAGCAGGCGGCAGAAAAGTGAGCCGCGCGGTTTAGCGGGAATCGCGGCGCGGAGGAGGAGCGGTGGATGGTGAGATTAACCACCACACTATTCTGGCACCATGCGTTTTGTTGAAATGAGCTGGGCTGTATTATAATTATACGAGCAAGGTAGTTAGATAGGTGGAGGAGTCAGAGTCAAAACGGTCGTGTAGTTTGATATAAGTGAGGGCGAGAGCGAAGAGAAGAGCTTACGGATGATGTCCAAGACGAGTCAAACCAGCGGGATACCGAAAATAATGATCGTTGACATGAGGCTGTATATAGAAGGAGTGGAAGCGCGCGTGAGGTGCGCACTTGTGTTGCAGCAGCAGCGACGAGGAATGATAAGTACAGTCTCTGTTCTATCTGAACTGAATCTGTGATATTTAATAATTGACGTATAATTGTTCTTCTTAGTTGCTTGTAATCTTCACTGTGTTCAATCAGGCTTTGGAAAGTGTTCTAAATGTTTGTTGGATAAAGAAATAAAAAGAAACTGTATTTAAGTAAATGTAACGAAAAGAAGAATAATGAAAAGAAAAAAAAACCGGAAATAAAGCCTCTCACTCAATTGGATGATACTGCTTTTTTAAGGATTATAGTAAGCAATGTATTTTGATGAATACTGTTAATACGTCAGTAAGAGTAGAAGCTTTGCTCGCCAGCAGCCTAATACTTCTTTGTAATCTTTCTGCAGATTTTTATTCCCAAATTATCTAGACTGTAAAGAATCAAGAAACCAAATGTAAGACCGGCCGTTTGTGAATTGCGCGAGCTTACATGACGAACAACCTGTACATACATAAGACACATGTTATTTATGACGTCTGTTAAAGATGTAATGGTTTTGTGTTTACTGTGTTATTTTAGACTATTGACTAATAGCGAGACACAGTGCGGTGGGGTATGAGCTGAGAGTTGACATTTTCACCAAGAGCGGTTGCGTAATGCGAGGATGAAGCGTGTGTCAGTGCTGCACGAGACTGGGTGATCATGAGTCATCCAAAAAAACTCAAGAACCGTTTGGGCGCGAGCCGCCAGATCTATTAAGACAGATTGGAGAGCCCACTGCCGCAAAGCTGAGAGCGACTTCCTGAGGCGAGAAGAGTGAGCGTTGGCGGGCGCCGCGAGCGGCGTCTTGTTCAATGGCTCCCGAGAGCGCGCGTAGAGAAGAGCGCGCATTTATGGAAGCGAGGCTCTCGTATTTGGTGCTTTAATGAGTAGGTTAGTTTAAATGCTCGTTGGTGATGTCCGTTTGCTGTGGTGTCTGTAATAGGAGCGAGCGACAGGAAGGAGTACAACTGAAATAAACAGAAAACCAGATCATTGCAGCTCTTTTTATTTATTCCAGGCCGGAGGGTGTGTGGATGTTTTCGTATCGGTTCATGCAGCGGGGCTGTATCTTGAGAGTGAAAAGACATTTTTCTGCTGTCCATCATTTACTTAGCGGATCTGTGAATAACGCTGATCAGTATGGAGAACCAGATAGAGAGGAGATATGTTGCTCCTGGAGGTTAAAGGTCGACGCGCTTCAGTCCTCCTCCCGCCCTTGTTCCTCCCCTCCTTCAGTCTGACCATCTTCATCAACTGGTGGTCCAACATCTCATCTGGTGGTTCTGATCAGCACGGAGCGCAGCCTGCACCAGCCCATGTACCTGTTGTTCTGCAACATGAGCATTAACGATGCGTTCGGGGCCTCCACCATCATCCCGCCTTTGTTGAACGATATCTTTACTCCCATCTCGGAGCGCTACGTTGGTTACATCCTCTGCGCCTTCCAGGCCTTCTGTGCTCACTTCTATGCGAGTGCTACTCACACCGTGCTCATGATCATGGCGTTCGATCGCTACGTGGCCATCTGCAACCCACTGCGCTACGCCACCATCATGACCCACAGGATGGTGGTGGGTCTGTCCGTGTGGGCGTGGGCCATCTCCTTCCTCATGGTGGTGGTCCTCATCGGCCTCAGCGTGCGTCTGTCTCGCTGCAGGACGGTTATCCTCAACCCGTTCTGCGATAATGCCTCCTTGTTCAAGCTGTCCTGTGAGAGCGTGCTCATCAACAACATCTACGGCCTCGGATACACCGTGGTCCTGCTGGGCTCGTCGCTCGGCAGCGTCACGCTCACCTACCTGAGGATCGCCATGGTGTGTCTGCGCAGTAAGAACAAGACTCTGAACAGCAAAGCGCTGCAGACCTGCGCCACTCACCTGGCCGTCTACGTCATCATGTTCGTGTCCGGCTCCATCATCATCGTCCTTCATCGTTACCCGCACTTGTCGGATCACAGGAAGCTGGCGTCCATCTTGTTCCACGTGGTTCCTCCAGCTATGAACACGGTTATCTACGGACTGCAAATCAAAGCGGTCCGACAGAAAATCTTTATCATGTTCACCGGGAATACAACGACGGGGGGGAAATGACACGATACGGTAAATACATGTCAATAAAACTATTCCACTTGCTGGAATGTTAAAACCCTGATCTGAAAGCCTAACAATGCTCTGAAATGACAATGAAATAAAAAGTACCTTTACACGAGTAGACTGAGTTTGACCTTTTGATTTCCTTCATAATACATATTGGAAAGAACCAGAATCATAAAAACATTCTCAGTGTAGTCGTAGCCCCGTCTTCTCAATTCATGGCATACGACATGTATTTTCTGAAGTGGAGCTTACTTACTTAATGGTGCAGGTATGGTACATATATGCTTTATATGTAATATATGGATATACAACACGATCCCCCTCTCAATCAACTTCCTCTTCACTGCCTTTTTTTGTTTATCTTATTCTACTATATTTACTTGTTTGCCTGTCCTTGTTTGTCTTCCCTCCCTCGTACTGTAAAGCTTCTTTGAGTTGTGAAAAGCACTATATAAATAAAATGTATTATTATTGTCATTATTATTATTATTATTCTATAATAGATGCAATATCATTGATCTTCAACAGGGGTCTTAAGAGTAACTGTGGGGGGCCGCCAAATTCAATGTGTATTTAAAAGATTAAAATATCTTATGGAAAATATTTGGAAATAGTTATCTATTATAGATTCATATTTACAAAATATGAAAAAAAAAAATGTTGATTAGTTGAAAAAACATGGTTACTGTCAAACCTTAATCCCTGTCTGACCGTGTGAGCTAACTCAGCTATGATGAAGCCATGTGCAGCAAGCTAGCTAGCTACAGCTGAATCATATTTAAAGAGCTATTGTACGCACAATAGAAAGGTTACAGGGTTTGGTCTCTACCGGGTAACAGGAGCACTGTGCCCTCAAACCAAAATGCAGATTTTCCCCGTAAAATGTTAAAGTGATGCCAGAAAATAATTTCTCTTTTCCTCAAAAACGGTATAATGACTCCAGAGATCTGAGTATCAAACAGAGCGTCAGCAGAGACAGCTTTGTTTTTACGGAGCTCCGACGTCACGTTGTTGTTTACGTCCGCGGAAAATCTTGTATACGGGCGTTATGTTCTCGAGATAATTTATATATCTTTTAAACAAGATCAGTGCCACAGAACTCATACTATATATGTCCCTGGGTTATTACTTTAATGGCTAACCCTAATCCTATTTAGAGGCAATGGATGTTCACTCTTGTGAGACGTCCGACAGTGGTGCGGTTACCAAAAGTGACAGACCTAATTTTACCCAGGGAAAAGTGGTGAAAATTAGAAAATGTATCCAAAAATAGTGCCTCATAATGCGGGTAGAGTCCCCTGCCAGCTCCCCTTACATTCCTCCAGAGTCAAAATAGTCAAATTCACATGTTGGAAAACCAGTGAGCACCAGGAAAAAGGGGGGAAAATGAACAAAAAGTATCCAAAAATAGAGCCTCACACAGATGGTCCAGGAGCCAAGCTATTGAGGTTGACTCGAAGACACATGTGTTGATACATCTTATGATGGCCAATTTGGCTGCGCCAAGAGCAGCAAAAGTCGGACTAATGATGCAGCATGTCTCCATAACTTGGGCACTTAGGTTATTTCACACCTCCAGGAGAGAGACTGCGAAAACCACCTCTTTGTGGCCCCTCACAGAGCCCCAAACGACGGACTAATGACCTCCAGGACGTCTCCCTCACATGCACTTCCATAACCTAAACATTGTTTAAATAGTCTGATACCTGGCACTGTATCTGCCCCTGGGAACC